GTCCTCAGAATGACATTTTAAAAATATTTCTGCCATACATATCACTAAAGGATGTTTTTATTCCTGCTATTGTGAATCAACCTTCTGTAAAACATATTGTGAATTTTCCCCTGGATTTTAATGAAAGAAGAATTGTGCAAAAGCAACTGCTTTGTCCCAGAACTAAAACAAAGAGTAATACACAGGAGAGGAGCAGCCTCTCCAAAATGCACTCTTCTCTGATTTGGCAGAGAAGCTCCTAGAGTGACCAGCCCATAATTGTGGTTGATATTTAATCCTCCTTGGTGCAAAGGCTCATCTTTTCACTATGCAGAAGCAACACTTAGATATGACTAACCTTTAGGGTTATATCCCAAAGTAGGAGTCCAAGGTTTACACTTGGATTGTCTAGGCCTCTTCTAACCTGAACAAAAAGGATGTGAAGAAAATCACATTTTTTCCCTTGCAACAAAGCATTCCTAATCACTTCAGCTTGTTGGTGAATTTTTATTCCCGTGTCCACTTGGGGTATTGAAATCGATTGCTGCAATATTTAATATATTACACTCCTAGGGTCATTGCTCTCCTAAGACTGAATTCTCTCCCTCATGCCCTCAACTCAGCCTGGCTTCTCTCCTCCCTCTCCCATCTGTCCGCGCCCTCTGTTTATCTGTCCACATAACGCTTTAATTCTCAGCCCAGCCCAGCCGGGCAACTTCACCTTAATTCTGCTTTCTTCTGGTATGGAAAATACTGAAAGCTCTAGGCAGCAGTGCACTTAAAAGGGAAAATGAGGAGCTCAGTAGATCGGAGAAAATTAACCTGCCACAAACAACCTCATTAAAGTACTGCCTACCAAGAGTTAAGAATTAATAGCAAAATGGATGGGGGAACAAACCCCTTGAGTGAAGAGACCTTAAACCTCTTTCCCTGAAAGGTGCATAATTTACAAGCGCAACCTAACATTCAGTTTTATTTCCCTTTCCTAGTGACCTGTCCCATAACCTTGTAATCCACTGTGGGGGCATTTTCTCTTTGGTTCCTTTCTTCTTTTTACACACCCACAGGTTTCCAAGTCCAAATACTTTCTGATATTTTTGGTTCAAAAATGCACTTAAATTGTTTGGAGCCTTTTAATTTAGAAAGACACTTTAAGAGACTCCTGGAATACCCTTTGGGAATTGTTAGATGATTTGAAGAGTGCCCTTAAAAGAATTGTGTTTGGATAGGAGGGGGGTAGGGGAATCATGCAGAAAGAAGCATGAAAAACCAGAGTGAGGACATTTTGTAGATTTAGTGTTCTGACTGATGGTACTGCGGTTTATTTTGCACATGAAGTTCAAATTTAAGTAAAGCCCACATATATGGGCTGTAAGTTGCTTTTCTAATGTTTTATTGGGCAGTGTATTCTATATTGGCATTTTATATGCATAATCTCATTTCAATGCAGAGCCGCATACTAAATCCTGGAGCAAGCAGATGAGAATGCTGTATGGATATTACACTCAATTTCATTGGCTTCAATGAGACTTCGCACATTGCGATTTCCATTGTAATGGCTTATCTTTGGCTAGAATTTTACACATTGACATGCTATTCCTTTGGCCAGGATCCTGAATGAAGAAACCGTGTCAATGGAACAGCCATAATGATTCCATTCACATTATAGCACGTAACTGGGATCAATGGTCCTAACAGTGTTTACAAGATTTCCTGCTTTTCTTTTTCTTAATAATTTTTTGCACTTTTTTTTCTCGAAGGAGATCACATTTAAATTCAGTCTTGGAGTATACACTAAAGTATTGGTTCAGAACAGGAAGAGATAGGAAATTCACAATCAGTATGCCAATTAATCTAGAAATCCTTCTGTTGTGTCAGGATATTATATGTAGCCCTCATGTGTGGTAGAATGGGATCCTATTCAGATAAACCAGCTAGAGACTGATACAAAGGACATGATCTTAGAAACCCTGGTAATCTCTCTAAGTCTATAAAATAAGTTATATTTCCCTCCATTTAAGTTCTACAAAATAAGTTGTGTTTTCCTCCAATTTAATAGTAATCAAATTAAAAACACAGACTGAAATGTATAAGATAATATGAAATGTTGATATTTTAGGGAAAGTATACATTTCAGAGGTAGCTTTTCTGAAGATAGCAGGAGTGCATAATTAATTTCCTAACTTACTTTTAAATTTATGGTCCATAAAGATGTAAAAGGATTTTTAAAAACACAAGGATTAATTAATTTTATTATAGATCCTATGACCAGCTAAACAATCGAACAATTTGAATGTTAGCCAAGCTCTAATGTTTCTTATTTAGGGGGGAAAAAGTACCACTTCTCTTTTTAAAATCAGATAAGAAACACCCTCATAGTAGTGATGTACACCCTTTTAACTCAATCATATATGTTTAAGGTTTTTTAAAAGTATTATTAACAGAAATAATAATTGGCTTTCTGAAGACAAATTTTTCACATGATGTATAACACTTGGAACAAAATTAAAAGCATCTCTTTACATTTGCATCTGGCAATGTACTCTATGCTAGAACCATAGCCATGTGTTTATGGAGTGGAGCTCTTCTGGTCTTGAGATACATGCTGTTTTTTATAGCTTAACCAGAATAGCTTAGCACATGCAGGACAAGAGGCTGGAAGCCCTGGCCCCTCACCCCAGCGAGGAAGCTCAGGATCACCATCACCACGGTCTCCCAGATGGCCTCTCTCAGCATTGGTTTTTAGTCTAGATCTTAACCTCTCTCCTCTTCTGGAGAAAATATTACTAAATATTGGTATTTCCCCATGTAGCCTTCACCTGAGTGCAAGAGTTGTAGGGGGAGATAAAGGGGAAAAACTGGAGGGTGAAAAAAGAGAAAATACAGGGAAAGGGGGAGAAAGAAAGGTAAATAAACTTGTTCATGGCAATTCCTACTATATCATGCAGGTTTTACTTTGAATGCGTATAACATCTACGCACCTGAAAGCTTAATCATCCACTGGTCTGTATATTTGGACCCAATGTAGAGGAAGAAAATTAACCTTTGACATTTGCACCTCTAAGGATGAGGGTATTCATTTGAAGGGAGTGAAAAAGAGACACATGAGAGAGAATGAATGTAAAATGTGCCTTTATTCCTGAGAGATCCAAGCATCTAGGCACTTTCAGGTCATTTCATAGACTGAACCCCTGTCTACCGACCAAGTTGCAGCCTGAAGATCTCTTATGTATTTGTGTCATATCTAACTTTCACAGGAAAGGGGGAGGGATGCTGCCTAAGCTTAGTGCAGTCTGTCTTCCACACTGTTTTTCCTTTCCACTGCTCATCGCTTATCAAAGGATCATGTTTTTCCTAGAGCTAACTTAAGCTGATCTTAAAGAGGGCAAGCACTAACCATGGAAGTCATATTCCAACCTTCTGATGCCCTACATGTGCTTCTCCAATAGCCCAGTGTCCAGGACAATTCTGAGTTTATTAGTTTGGTTTTTTGGTGGTTTTGGAGAAGAGGGCAGGCAGCCACTCAGATGGCTTTCCTACTGCTTCCCTTCCTTCCTTCTGTGCATCCGGGCTGGGGAGGGCCTCTGCAGCCTTGTGAGCAGTTGTTCTCTGCTAGGCTAGCAATATTTTAGGGTCTGAGTCTATTGACTGCTATGCCTTTTCCATCCCAAAAGGATCAAACATAAACATAGATGGCACTGATTAGATGAATAACTGTTTCTTACTGGAGAGCCTTTAGGCTGCCTGACACTATCTGTCTCCACCTTTTTCTGTCTTGTTTCAGTCATCTAACCTGAAGGAAGATACTGGCAGCAGGAGCTAAGGAATCGGGGATACCCTAACATCCTAGGTACTTGCGTTGTTTCTTCTAGAGATATTCTTTTCAGGCTACAGTACACAACACACACACACACACACACACACACAACTCATCTGCAGGCAGCAGGCTCTCCTAATTCTTTCGGAATCCCCCCCCCCAACGTCTCTGGCCTTAAATGTCCCTCATAACAAGGGGACAACCACTGCCCCTCCCCCCAGTTAGGCACCAGGCCCCACAGCCATGGCTCTAGCGGCAAAAGAATAGAGAGCTCGCTGTGCTGCAACCCAAACAGCTCTGGAAGAAGAAGTCGTGGGAGCCAAACTGTGGCACAGGAGACGACTGCACTCTGACCAGTAAAACATATAAGCAATGAGGCAAATGTTTTCAGAGCACCTACTATGGCACTGCTAAGTGCTTACTGTTAGGTCCTAGGAAAATAAGGAAAGGAGAATGGCAGTTAGCAAGTGTGAGAGGAGATCCGCTTGGAAGCCATTGACGAGGGTGTAACACCACACGTTTTGGGGTCGTGTTTTTCCAAGCAAACCGGAGTGATTTTTAGGGAAAGCCAAATATCCAGGATAAAAACATCCTGTTTTGAGAGGCAGAAGCCCTATCGCCTGCGAGTGAGTTCATCAGTCAGGAAAGGGGCTTGGGAGCTCAAGGCTTGAATTTGGTGAATTCGTGCAATTTGGAGTATTTCGACTTAGTATTGATCCCTAAACTCAATTTTTTTAAAACAGCCTCCATCGCAGAAGTACGGGTTGTGTTATCCCAGTATTTGCACGCATCGATTGGGCTAAAATAAAATACACCATATTCTCCTCAAAGAAGAGGCAGGGACAGTCACAAGAGGAATAGCAGAAAGTGCATAGTTAATATGGGTTGTACACGAATCCGCGAAACAAGTGCTTTAAACCCAGGGGGATTTCACGTAATAGCTAATTTGGTGAGAGCGAGAGTGCGCAAGCAGAGGGCCATCTTAGAAGGGTAGGAAGATAGCTGAATATAGGTTTTTCTGTCTGGAATTAACATTTCCTTGTGGTTTGCGTTAGCTAATGTCCACACCTTCGCGTACAGTCCACCTAACCCAGTTTTTTTTTTTTTTTTTTTTTTCCACCAGCGCAGACTTAAGAAAAAACTCTCTTCACTCTAGGTGCACTGCCAGAGCTCAGAGGCGGCTGCTGCTTTTCCCCCGACCTACCAGGTCCTAAGTCCCGGGAAAGGCCGCGGGGCCGAGCCCGGGGAGGCGTTCTCCGCCCGTCCTCTCCGGCCTGCAGGACCCGGCGGGCTCCTCTCTTTCCCCAAAGTTAATCCAATGAGCCCAGAGCCTGCCTGGTTGGGCCCATGCCCTTCTCGGGGCCCAACCGGCTGGAAAGGGAACTGGAGGAGATAAGAAAAAGGAGACAGGACTATTTTATCTTAGACTAAAGAAACTCTTTTCCTTGTTAAACACACAAACCCTTCCTCTTATTTCTTCTGTCTTCCGAGTCCATTTCAGGTTTCTAATGAGCAGAGACAGGAGTGTGCGTGAGTCAGCGCGTAAGAGCGAGAGAGCGAGACGAAGAGAGACAGGAAGAGAAAAAGAGAGGGAGAGAGCGCTTCAAACAAAAGACGAGGAGGCCCGGGCTGGGGCTGGAGCTCTCGCCGGAGCCTGCTCTGCCTGTGGACCCTCCAGCCCCCGGGCCCGGCCGGCATTCTCGGGGGTTCCGCAGGCCTGGCCGCACCGGCCTGAGCCCGTGCTCACGCGGCTGGAGAACTGGAGACAAAGCCCAAGATCCAATCCCACCGCGAGCCGGAGTCCGGGGCCGACCGGCCTGCGGTCGAGGCGCGACCCCCTGCGGGCTGCGACCCGAGAGGGAGCCCTGGCCCGCTCCGCCTCCCCGCGGCCCTCGCCGCCGGGGTCGCCCCGGCCCGCCCGGTTCCCCCCGCCGCACTCAGCCAGCTGCTCTCGGGGACCCGCGAGTCCAAAACACGCCTTCTCATTAATTAAAACCTGGAAAGCCTGGCCACCTTCTTCCCAGGCCCAGGCAGCATCTCCAGAGGTCGCCGCGGCGCTCTTGGCCGGCGTCGGCTTCCGCGCGGGGCCTCGGTGGCCGGGCGGCCATTTACTGCCCCCTGATTGCGCCGAGGACCAGGTTAGCTCATAAAGCCTTTCACACTCAACAATGGGGATTTTCTCAACAATTAACAAGAAACAACATAATAAAGCCATTTACAAAGACCTTGCTATTTACTATAAATTAGGCACTCTTTAAGAGACCAGTGCGTAATTTCACACACTTTACAACTGGGGCTGCATTTTAAACGCCCGGGAAAACAAGCTAGTTGCACTTTCCTGTGACCTGTCTGCGGTGCACCTCTGTTTCCCCTCGTCCCCACTAGCAGCTTTGTTTGCATTGCTGCACTCCAACCTCCCCAACCAAGGGTGGTTTTCCAGGTCACTGTCTCACGTTTCCCGTTTCCAGGTCATCATTCCCCTTGCAGATGCACTGAGAGGTTCCAAGGGACGGGAACCACGGCGCCAAAGCAAGCAAGCCGTGCCCCATCGCGTCTCTCCCACTGGGGAGTCCTGCCCGGCCCTGCCTGCGCCCCGCGCCCTCCCAACACCCAAGCCTCTGCTCTTGGGCCACTTCCCAGGAGGCGTTCACGGCCACGCGGGTCCAGTGGGCAGCCCCATCCCTTTGCCACTCGCGTCCCTCGCGCGCAGGGTGGAGGCCTTGGCCAGCCCTCGGCCCCAAGCAAAGAGCTGGGCCCCATTTGCCTGGGGAGGTGAGACGAGGCCTGGGCGAGAAGGTGAGAAATGGCAAGGCGGCGTGTGCGTGTGCGGAGGTGGGCGATGACTTCGCGACACACAAGAGCAGCGCAAAGGGGGAGGGAGGGGACGTTCCAGTCCCTGAGGGCCAGCTCCGGGGCGGGTGCGGAGGCCGGTCGCGCGACCTGCTGCCCCCTGCTCCCGGCAGGCCCGGCCACGAGGCCGCGCGAGAAGAGCTGGGATGTGGCCCGAGGGAGCGAGATCGTCACACACGCCGAGGAGAGCAAGATCTGAGCGGGAAAAAAAGTCACAAAGAAATTTGTTTGCCACCATGCAAAATGGCGGCACTTAAACATCTTTCTGGTGGCCCTGGTCGGGGAGTCCAGAGCTGCCCGGGGTCAGCGCGGTCCCCAGAGCTCAGCGGCCGGAGCAAGCGAAGGGGAAGGGACCCCGGAACCCTCTCGGCTCGAGGCCGGCCCTTCGCCCGCAGCCCTTGGCCCGCTCTGCAGTCCCCTGCCTTCCCTCCCAGGCCGCCAGGCCCAAGCCCGCGCCAGCAGCCCCCGGCCACTGACCCCTGTTTACAAACACAGCCTGGGGGCGGGGAGGGGCGGCCGGAGCGCGGGCTGGCGGGCTGGGGGGAGGCCGCGCGCCCCGGAGGACGCCACCAGCAGAGAGGGACGAGGAGTTGGTGCGAGAGAGCGGGCCCGGCAGCTGGAAAGGACTGAACGCCTTGTTTTTGAAACTGTCAATTCCCTCAACCCCTATTGTGAGGGCTTCATGCAAAACATCTCAGGCCTTTTAAAGTAGGAGCTTGTGAGGCCGCCACAGTTTGAAAAGGAGCGAGAAAGGAGCGGGGGCCTAGGGCATGGGCAAAGAATGATAGCTCCCCCCCCCTTTTTTTTTTTTCCAAAAAAGGGGGCCTTCCAAACAGGTAAAATGCAGCCCTCCCCCACCCCTAGATCTGCCCTCCGTCCCCACCCCCCAGGCTAGTTTGCAAAATGCCCTTTGGCCTAGGGAGCAAACCAAAACCGAAGCTAGCATTAAAAATAGTTTTTCCTTACAGGGAAGGGGAAAATCCTAGGGATGGCTGGGGTGACTGGGTGGACTCGCTAAGGTGGATGCCAATTTCCTGAGGTTAGTTGATGGGGAGCCTTTAATTTTTTTTTTTTTTTCTTCCTATTTTGGCCCTGGGAACTCCCCTCTATACACATCCATTTCAGCAGGAAGTTATTTTCAAGGTGAAGTAAAACTCACCACATTTTCTTTCTTTTGTAGATGCTAATGCTTTATTTTTAAAAATTTTATACCATGGAGGATTTGTTTTCTTTGAAAGAAAAAAATGCCTTTGAGGAATTAGTTTCTACATCTCTTCCTGCATGCAAACAAAATTATCATTTTCATATCAGCAGAAACTCCCAATTCTTATTGACTAGAACTTTTGAGGAATTTCTAAACCATTGAAAAGTCACCCAGACGCGGATAAGATAAAAGTCCACACACCAGCCCATCTAGTTTGTGTTATTGCTGTTTAGTGGTGGCTCCTTGTTGTTGATTTTCAAATAAACAACCATTATTGAGATTACTCCACTGTAATCAAGTAAGCCAGTAGAAAAGAACGCCCACTTTAAAAAGTAAATAGTTGAAAAAAAGCAAGCTGCATTTTTCTATAAAGGCAGATAACCTGACTGTGGCAGACAGAGTACACACATCTCTTAAAAAAATAATTAAATCTTCACAGTCTTATCAGGAAATAACTTTTATAGGAGACCAAAAAATAAGTTTGTTTCCCCAAAAAGTTAGAGAAAGAGGCTTTTCCTGCATTTTCCTCATGTCTGTGAGTGTTGAGCTTTAAACACAGGAATCAGTGACCCTGGAGCTATATAGAGCCTTAAAAAATTTTTTTTCTATTCCCTGAAAACATCTAAATGTAAAAATGTCATCTATCAATGGAGGTAACTTTTGTTTTCTTCTCAATAAGGCTTAACTTTTTGAACAAATGGGACATTTATAGCAGCTTAGAAAATGTAGATATTGTCATTAATCATAAAACAACCAAAATAAACTGTGCTGAGAATAATTCCCACAGCAGAATAGGAAAACAGCTAAGGGGCTACCAGGAATTGAAAGAATACCTTGTATTTGCAAGTCACTGCATACTATTGGGTACACTTTCCTGACAGAAGCCCCAACTCAGGTTTTGCTGTGGTTGGCTGGCTTATAGTAGTACTGTGGGGTGAAATCTGTGTTGACTATTTAATTTCTTTCCTTTTGATGGTATCACTCTGGAATGCCTCGGCCTCCATGCTGCTCATTCTCCAGCTCCTATAAACTGAAACTATTGATTCTCTGAGGGCTGGAGACCAAGTGTCAAAGCTGGAGGCTGATATTTTATGTCAGAAATTCCATAGGATATATTTGTTTTAAATTGTGCTTATTCCATCTTACGGTCCTCTCACACCTAAGAACTGTAGACTTGAAATATATTCTCAATTTATAATTTAGGAACAATGAATCCATAGCCAACAAGGACAGTACTAGTCTAAATGTAGTAGTCATCGTACTTTGAACTTTCTTAACTTAGCAGTAATTAAAGAGTAGAAATTACAGACTTCCAGTGTGTATGTCACACTTTTTACAGATTGATTTTTCAGGACAATTCACTGCACCTAAATTCCATATTGCCTTCCAAAGAGGAAAGAACTCAGACTAAGAAGTCAATTGTTCAGCTTTCTGGGGCTTCAGCTGTAACATGGACTTGTCTTTGGAATTATATACAAACATGAATTCAAGGATAACATCCCCAAATTTTCACTTTGACCATATCTACCATTCCAATAAAAAAGGATTCAATGAACCTACATCTGGCAACATTCAAGAAGGAAAGGAAGGGAGGCAGTTCAAAGCATCTGTTTACTCCATCCAAAAGTATTTGGATGCAGGTCTTCTCAGCCTCTGTCCTTTATAATAAGAGGAAAACCACAGAGCATATACAGCAGTTAGGACTGAGACCATTCAGATCTATCTGAAACATTTATAGACAAAAGGAAAATTTCAAAGAGAGTAGGAATTAAAAGGTTAAGAAGAAAAAAACAGACTGAATTTCCATGAGAAATAGTGACAAATTCACACAGTAAACATTTCATTGGTGTTTTGTTTTGCTTTGTGATTTATGATCTCTAGATGCAACCTCTTAGATTTAAGATAGCAAGGATGTGAGATACATAATTTGTCAGACTGAGGGTGGTGGTCCAAAAATTATTAGATTCAACTTTCATCAAAATAACTTATCTCTGCTTCATTTTCTTAAATCTGAAACTTTTCATACTTGATTTATAACAAGTTTATAAAGTTTTGTTGCTATTTAGGAAGAAATCCACCAGTGTTTTGCACAGAACCTGACTGGCCTCCTCACATAGTATTACAACAAAACACTACACCCAATAAATGCATTTCTTTCAGGCAAAAACATTACAAGTGAAAATATCAACAAAACCATCCATTACTATTAAACGTTTTTCAATTTGGAATAAGTAGAAATGTATGGAACCAGGAATTTTAAACAGTGTTTTTAATTGAAAATAAAGCTAAAGCATGCTTTTCAACAGTGCAAATTTCCATAATTTTGATTTACTGCTTCCATCATCACAACACAGTACACCAGCATGGCCCTTACCAAGGGCTAGACCCTAGCCATTTGCATGTTGAACTACTTTGATTTTAAGTGCAAATATAGACAGTCACCTCTGATTGTCACTTGCAGTAGAAACTCTCCTGCTCTATACACAGGATGGTCTGAAAACAGAAGTTTAGAGAGAGATGCAGAAAAAGTATAAGGTAATAAAATCTAAGTGCCTGAGTTCTGGTACCAAAAAGCCCTGAAATAACTGTTATTTTTCTTCTGGGGTATTAAAACTCCAACTCCTCATTTTCTTTTTCTTGGTTGTATTTACTGCTCTGTCACTATGAAGAGTTAGAAAATATCCTGCTATTAAGAGAAATATTTTAATTGTTTTGCAAGTTTGAAGAGTCATGTTCAGACCACAAGATAAGCAGGACAATAGTAAGAGTCACCTTATTCAAAACCTTTGGGTGAGAAAACAAAAAGGACTTTTCCAATTGCAAGGAGTGGCTATAAAAGTAAGATCACACCCTTTACCAAAATAAAAATAAAAACAAAAACATCCCATATTTATTTTACCCAGTATATATGAGGCAACTTTTACCAGCATTCAATCAGGATTCACACCCCAACCTTTCCACTAAAAAAAAAAAAAAAAAAAAAAAAAGTTAAGTGCAACTACTCTTGGAGAGGGAATGAGGGGAGTAAAAATAAGATACCCCACAAACAAGAGCTCCAGAAAATAACATTTTGGGCTCAGAAACTTCTTGCTACCTCACTGTGTAACCATGTAACCTCACAAACTTTCACTGAATTAACAGTTAAACTTTCAGGTCTGAAATCTAGTGCATAAACTTAATGGCTCATTGTAATATTTATTATTCAACCTTTTGACATTTATTTGTAGCAGTTGAATTGAGGTACCGGGTGCATTATTAGCACTGAAACAGTAAAGTGTTCCAGCTCTACCGTAATAACTGAGTTTTACTTGAGTCTTTAGCCTGAAGTAGTCTGTGGAATGTAAACCAACCCTTCTCCCACCCCGCCCCCACCCGACTCCAAAAAAAAAAAAAGAAAGAAAGAAAAAGAAAAAAAAAAAAGAACACAAAAACCCGCAATGGAAAAAAAGTAATCCGATTTCTGTCTTCAAAATGCCATAAACCAGGACTCCAAAG